GACCAATCGGAGAAGAAGGAAGTGGCTGAGTCATCTGCTGATGTCGCTTCAACCAAGACAAAAAAACGGCCTGTTGAAGAAAGCTCAAGCGGCGTGAACGGGAAACGTCTCAAGACGGAAGAGAAGAAACCAATGTTTCAGAGGATTTGGTCACTAGAGGATGAGATCGTCTTACTTGAATCAATCATCAAGTTTGGGAAGGATCCTTTAAAAGACAAGACTGGTTCTTTTCACCACTCGGTCAAGTCATTGATTCAATTTGAGGTGAGTAACTCTCAAGTTATAACCAAGATACAGAATATGAGAAAGAAATATTTAGGCAAAGCGCACAAGGCTGTTGTGAGATTCTCGAAACCTCATGATCGTTTATGTTTCGAAAAGTCCGAAGAAATCTGGGGACCTAATGGGATCCTGGAGAAGAAAGTGGATGATGATGTGATGTCTGAAGAAGACGAGTGGTTCGAGAACTCTTTTCTTCCAGGGTCAGTTGCAAGTGATTGTTTGTGTGAAGGAATGGTGAAACGAGGTTGGAACTTGGTTCAAACGGAGAGGAAGCACAAGATTCAAAAGAAGTTGAAGGTCTTGGAGAAGGAATACAACAGGATTGCTTTCCGAAAGAAGGAATTCATTAATGACATCACCTCCGCCATTTACGAAGTAACAAGTTAGGGTTTTTGCTGGTTTTCTTATGCCTCTTTCTTAATTTTCTCAAGTTTCATATTGGTTTTTAGCGACTTTTCAGGTTTTGTGTGTTTTTTTCTGGTTTAAAAAACTTCTATCGGATATTTTTGTTTTGGTTAATCGAGTAGTAATCTGTTGGTTATTTAGAGTATTTTTCTATTTGTGTTGCTCTTTGATTAATGAAATTTGATGACAAACAAAAAAAAACCTAACAAAAACAGTGCAAGTACCTTGAATAGCAAGGAAAGGCATTGTCATTAGTTTACGTTCACGCAAGTGCCTCAAAAAGGCCTGGTGTGTTCTTCCAATAAACTCAAATTGTAGCTTTCGAAATTTATAAGCAAAATAAAAGAAAAGAGAGGTTGTACCAATAGTATTGGCAGAGTAAGATATATATGTACACAAACAGCGTAACAATAATTTACCCAACCAAAAATAGCCAAAACAGTAGCTGTTGACAGAAACATAGAGCATAAAAGACATTGAGACTAATCTCACATCTTCACCTACTGCCTCTGTTCTATCTTCCTCCTACTCTTTGGTCGGCACATATACCGGGAGATTCACAAGTGTGTCGATTCTGTTTACTCTGATGAGCTCAGGCGATCCGAGACCTGAGTCAGGAGTTGATGTTGATGCTGTGTCTGGTTCCGGTTCAGTAACCCCATTGTTGTTGATCTTTTTGTCCTCTGAGAAAGAGGCAGTTGAGGGTTTGTAGTCTGGCTCGGAATCAAAAAAGAGGCAAACTACAGCACAGTCATCGACTTTTGAAGTCGGGAACTTCCATCTCCAATTCCGCACTGCAGCTTCCACCAAGGCTCGGCTAGCTGAGGAACGTGTTGGGGCTTTCGCTACAATCTCTACAACCTCTTCATTCGTCAATGCATCCCAAATCTAGCAAAGTTTAAAGAAAGAAATGTACATTCATTACGCTTTTCTTTACAAGATTTATATATTGACACATCTAGGTTTCTTAGAGAATGAGCTCACTAGTCCAAAACTCTGATTCTGATATTGAACTTTTGGATTTTTACTTATAGTTGTTTATCAGAAACTCTAGGATTTCTCTTACCCCGTCAGTTGCCAAGACAACAAATTCATCCTTCTCAGTGAGAAGTCGGTAGGACACATCAGGCACAGAAATGAGACCGAAGTCCTTGAGGCAAAAATCTCCAAAAGCACGTGCCATGGCTAGACCAGGTGAGTTGTGGTTAGGAAGCCAGAGGCGGGAAACCCCCGGCTCATCTTGAAGAGCAAATATACGTCCTCTGCATTTCCTTATCCTTTCTGCTTCCGCTGGAAACAAGAAAAATTCAACCTTTAATTTATAAATCAGATTCTCTTTACAAATATGCAGGCAGCTAAATATGATAGCACGCGTTACCACTAGATGAGTTCTTGAGCATGGAACAACTAAAGTTTTATTATACGTCTCACAGCAGTAGTTCCTGGAGAACTTAACACTTGTGAAAAGATAGTTAAAGGCTACAACGTCAATGGCGTAAACCCGTAATTTTTACAAGTTCTCTAAGATGAGTACCAAAACAAAATAAGTTACGGTTCTAGAGGATTTAATGTACAGTAGCTCACCTGGAACATCTGGTTTGAGATCTTCAGTTAATTGAAAAGGAACGAGTTTATTGTCTTTGTTCCTCGTACCCAATAGTGCTCTTGAATCCCCAATATTTCCGACAACAAGATGTTGACCCTACCGAAAACTCAAAAAAAATCAAACAATCAAGACAATGAAAAATGATGTTATGCAACAAACTCAGAATTTTTGGTCTAACTACCTGCTTGACCATGGTTACTGCAGTTGTTCCACTGCAAAAACAATCAACATCCTTTTGCATCTTCAATTCCTTGTCCATAAATCTGTAAGCTTTCACAATTGAGGATAATAGTGTTTGAATCATATCCTGATCCTTTACGGTATCCTTATTGTAGACTCGGGATTCTCCACCGGCAGATATATGCACAAGATTTTCCGAGATCTTTCTATCACAAGTGTTGATGCTGATCTCTTTAAGTACTTCCTCGCAGGAAACGTAAGACTCCAAATGCGACCCCAATTTGAGTGGAAGCAAATCCCTCACTCTCTTTGCCACAATGTGACCATTTGGACCATGTCCATCAAAAACACCACAAAAAACCGCGTCCGCCATAGACCCGAAATTCTGAACATTTAAAGACATTATTACTAAAAATCGATACCAAAATCCATTGAAAACAATTCATAAGCTCACATGAGTAACATTATGCTCTACATACATCCATATGAGATAATTACGCTACGACCAAATCACTTTGCAAGTGACAACTAAACCGTCCAAGAAGACATCACAGAGAGCAATAAAACTGACCTCCCAGAAAATCATGGCGTCTTGATTAGGACCTTTCTTGCCTTGTTGAGAGAAGAGGGAGGCAGTGTCGGTAGAGCCATTCAAGAACATCCTTCCAGGGATCCTGTGGAGAAGTGGCTCATCTTCACCAATGCTGTCGAAAGAAGAAGTACAAGACCTTGGTCTCCTCTTGGAACTCTTTCTCCTCCTCCTTGAACAATGAGCATGAGAAGATCCATGGAGAGATCTCCTCCTTCCTCCTGATGATAAACAGGACCCCATGTCAAGGGCCCTGATTAAGCTTACCAGACAATCCAGACCACGTACACAATCGAAACCGCGGTTTTCAGGTGAAGAAACCCTCTTCGATCTCAACTCTTCACTCACCACCGCCAGGATTGGAGATTGAACAGAGACACCGATTTGATGATGAAAAGAAAACGCAAAAAAGGCTCTAATTTAGATGTTAGAAGCTCTCAGACAAAACAAATAGAAACTAGAGCGAAGACAGGAGACAGAACACGAGTTTCCTTCAAGTTGAAGAAGCAGAGTTTTAGATTTTGAGAAGAAGATTTAAAAAGATAATGAATTTATCCAGAATCTCATCCAGAAATCGAGAAAGAGAGAATCTTTTTAGCAATGAGAAGGAGAGAGAGTCGAATATTGCATGAAGGTGGAGGAGATAGAATCGGATCCAAAGGAGAATTTTCGGTGAAGGAATCAGAATCGGATTTCAAGGAACAACCACAAATTCTAACCGATAATGCCGCTCTGGTTCTCTGAT